CAGAAGTTCTTGGGTTAATATTGGAAAAGCCTTCAGTTTGTTTCTGTGATACTAGGTCTTTCCTTCCATTTTGCTACTAGAGTAATTTCTAAACCTAGGCTGGGACGGCTACACAGGGGTGCTCTGCATCAGAGTGTGCTCCCAATTTAGTCTGGATCCAGCATGTGGATGCAACAGGTAAACTGTCACAAAATTATCAACTGCATTATCAAAACATTGATTTTCAGATATTAAACCAAACTTTCATTCCTTGGTAAAAGCATACTATTCTTTATACATGTTGTTGGGTTCAATTTTCTAATGTTTAAGGATTTTTGTGTCCATGTTCATAAGGTTATTGGTCTTTAATTTTATTTTCTTAGATCGTCCTTTTCAGGTTTTGATATCAGGTAACAATAGCGTCATAAAATAAATTGGGAAGTGTTCCTTCCCATTATTTCCTTAAAGAAATTGAGTAACAGTGGTATAATTTTCTTTCTTAAAATTTTAGAGAATTAACTAGTGAAGTTATCTAGCCCAAGAATTTTCTCTGTGGCAAAGTTTTGGAGATGATTATAATTATGTGGTATCATCAGTTCTATCAAATATTGTAACTAGAAGTCCTAGCCAGGGCAATTACACAAGAAAAAAAAAACTTTTAAGGCATAATAATTGTCAAAGCAGCAGCAAAACTGTCTTTATTCACATCGGACATAAACTTGTACAAAGAAATTCTAAGAAATTTATAAGAAATTACTAGCTGTAAATAAATTGAGAAATAAATATACTCATAGGTTGGAAAACTCAGTACTGTAAAGATATTAATTCTGCCTAAATTCATCTATAGAATCAAAGCAATTCCATCAAAATATCAGAAGGCTTTTAGAGAAACTGATAATCGGATGCTAACATTTACATGGGAATTTAAAGGATCTGAAATTGCTAAAACATCTTAAAAAAGAATAACAAGGTTGGAGAACTTAAACTAGCTGATCTGTGATTTAATTAAAAGTGTAGTATTGGCATAAGGGTAAACAAATGGACGAGAAAATAAAGATCCAGAAAGCACTCACACTTATTTAGACATTTGAATTTTGACTAAGGCACAAGCACAATTCAATGGGCAAAGAAACATCTCTTCAGCAAGTGTGTTTAGGTGATATCTGTGTGGAGAAAAATTAATCTTGACCCATAGCTTATAATATACATGAAAATTAACCAAAGATATATTGCAAGTCTAGGTGTTCAAGTTAAAACTCTAAAGATCCTAGAAGAAAACATAAGAGATTATGCTCATAACTCTGGGGTGGGCAAATATTTCTTAGAATGCAAAAAGTACTACCCATAAGAGAAAATATTGACAAAATAGCATTCATCAATATTTAAAATTCCTGGTTTTCAAAACACAACCTTTAAGGAACTGAAAGGACAGGCTATATTCTAGGAGAATATATTTGCAACACATACATTAGACTCACATCTATAGCATGTAAAGAACTATGAATTAATAAGAAGACTAATAGAAAATCGATGAAAAAAATTACTCTTCACAAAAGAAGATATGAGTGGCCAATGAGCAAAGACAAAGATGTTCAACCGCATTAGTCACCAGAGAAATGCGAATTAAAATCACAATGAGTTGCCAATATGCACCCTCAATTAAAAAGACTAATAATATCAACTCATTGGCTAGGAAACAGAACAGTGGGAGCTCCCATTCATTGGGTAAAGAATGTTGCAAAATGGGACAATCAGTGTAGAAAACTGGCCACTTCTTATCAAGTTAAATATGCACCTGGCTTATGATTCAGCAACTCCAGTCCTAACTACTTCCCCATGAGAAGTTACCGCATAGGTTGATCCATGAAAGAATTGTACATGAATGTTCATTGCATCTTCATTCATAACATTCCAAAACTGGAGGCAACCTAGTATCCATTGTGACACATCCATGCTATAGAACACAGAAGCAAATGAACTACTCACACACACAGTAATTTACACTCATCTGAAAAGCATTACGCCGAGCTAAAGAACCTAGGCACAAACCTACCTACCAGACAACTCCATTTTTATGAAATTTAAGATCAGACAACAGTAAGTGATAGTGACAGAAATCAGCGGCCTCTCTAAGTGAGTATGAGGGAGAAGTTTGAGGGGCATGAGGAACTTTCTGGAGTGATGGAATCGGTCTGTGTCTTAATGGAAGGGGTGTTCACAAATGTACCTCTGTCAAAACTTACTGAATACTTTAACTCTGTATTTTATCATATATAAATTATTCCTGCACAAAAAGCATCATCATATGTGTTGATAACACAAGACACTATCTCTTTTCTACCCATTTGTATCTGTCTTTCCCCCATGACAGGGTCCTCTTGAGGAAAGTATGAGTTCAAATAAGATTTCTTCCAACTCTTGTCTTCATGCAGAATTCCAAAATGGCTTTGAGTCTTGCTGTGGTACTTTTCTATGCTGCTCATTGGAAATCGAGCAAAATTATATATTATTCACTTTCATAAAATCATCCTCAGCACAAATGATCACTTTATTTTAGAATGCAGCATGGTGGAATGGAAACCAAATGGCCTGATTTGGTGGAGTTTTGGGGTTTTTGTTGTTGTTTTTTGGCTTGGTTTTTTGGGGGGGTTTTTGTTTTTTGTTTTTTGTTTTTAGCCAATGTAACAAATCCTAAATTATTTGAAGAGCAATAAGAGAACTGGGACTGAGATTTGTAAAAACCAAGAGAAATTCTTAAACTGAACGATAAAAATAAATTTCAGACCTCCTTCTAAACCAGGTTTAAAACAGTTTCCAACAAGGAGCTTAAACGTCATTCTTTTTTACTCTCCTTATCTTTAACTACGTTTTGGTAAGAAGTATTAGTAAAAATAGGCAGAAAGCATGTGGAAAAAAGCAAGAACAAACTTCCTGGATTGACAGCCTGAAAATGTTACCAAATTTAAAATATCTCAAATTATGTATGTCCTAGAGACATGGCTTTATTCACTCCTTTTCTCATAAAACAAATACTACAAAAAATCCAAATGATGCTTTTTAACTTTGAAAATGCATGAGAATGGTTATATTTAATGGTGATCATACCTTGAGAATATGCCTGGCACCCTTGCCTTCAAACGTTCAGCAAATGCGTTGCTGAGATTCTGGCCTTACTGCAACCTCGGTGCTTGCTTTAAAGAACGCTGCTAAGATGCTGAAATGGAAAAATATTTACAAGCAAAGGCAAAAGAAAGCAGGCAGGCTCGGTGGGCTCATCAAATCTATTAAGCATGACAGTTCTTCCTTCAGAAACTCTCAAGTATATGGGCACAAGCCAACCAGGTAACACATCTTGTTACTTTTTGGAGCCGTAAGATTTTTGATGAACCCTCTGTTTGTTTCTAATAGATGCAAAGGGGAAATAAAATAGACCATAAAGTTAATGCAGAAGGGCCCAGATGTAGAGATGCCGTAAGGATAATGGACATTGGTATACTTTCATCTCATTTTGCAAGGAGGCGCGGTTTCCTTAAGGAGTTTTCTACGGCTCCCCCAACACATGGAGTTCTAAGCCCTCCACGTGGGCGGCCAAGTGTCCATCAGTAACGTGGCTGGCACTCCTCAGCCAACAAGGTCAGCTCTGGGAAAACAGGTGTACCCAGGAGGTTGCTTGAATGACTGATTCCTCCACTATTCTTTCAGCACAATTCTGCCTTCTCTGCCTCCTCTCCTTTCCTGAGAAGAGACCTGTTTCCTACCCATCATCTGGGGAAAATCTCATAATTTCACAAAGATATCATGATAGGGTCTTATGCGTGTCTTCAGAGGTCCTTGTATTTCTCAAGGACAATCAATATATATTTGTAATGAATAAATGATATAAAATCCTGACACTCTTCCCATGAAATATGCAACATGAACTGAGGCTTCAGTTGCCTTATCTCAACACTGTAAACCAGGAAGGAAGCAGGGAGATGAAGGACTTGTGCCTGTCAGCATCCTGCAGATTGCACTGTGCCAACAATGATTTGCATAGATTTAGATTCCGAGCTATCCAAACAAAGGGCTATTTACAAATAAAGTGGTGATGTAAATCACCTAAGCTTTCCCCTTGAGCTCGCCTTGTCCTAACAGGTCTGTCTTTTCCTCTTGGCCTTCCAAACCACCATGCATACGCTAGATCCTATAGGAAAATGCTTTCCTAGCATCAAATAAACTCTTTCGGAAGAAATGAGTCAGGAACTGAGGAGATAATTGTGATTATCTGTTCCCATTTCAGGACTAGGTCTGCTGTGGCTGGGTAGGAGTCAGGGGAGGGACCCCCCCCCTCAGAACAGCGGACTCCCCCCGGGAGAAAGCGAATTCCCATTGCTGTGGTGAGGTGGGACCCCGTGCCTTGGATACGGCATTTGGCCAAATTTTCAAGTGGATAGCCAAGTATATTGGCTCATTATGCAAAACCCATAGGAAGCAGAGCAAGGATTCATTAAGCCTCAGGCAAGGTTAAATAAAGTACTTCCTTTGCCACAGCCACTATGGAAAACGGTATGGAGATTCCTTAAATAACTAAAAATAGACTTACCACATGATCCAGCAATCCCACTCCGGGGCACATATCCGGAGAAAGCTCTAATTCCAAAGACACACGCACCCGGTGTTCTAGCAGCACTGTTTACAACAGCCAAGACGAGGAAGCAACGTAAATGTCCTAAATCAGGATCTTGCTCTGGATTAGGCTTTGGCCCAAGGAAACGCTGTGGCTGGTTTGATCTGTAATCTAGACCTCAAGCTTCCTCCATGTCAACAATAAGGCTGGCTCGCTTTCTTATCATTTGTGTGCTCGCTGGAGGAGCACTTTAATTTCCGTCAAGAACTTTCCTTTGCATTCACAGCTTGGCTAACTGTCTGGCACAAGAGACCAAGCTTTCGGCCTTTCTCAGCTTTCTATATACATTCCTCAGCTTTCTATATACCTTCCTCACTAAACTTAATTATTTCTAGCTTTTGATTTAAAATCAGAGACACGTGACTCTTCCTCTGTCTTCAATGCTTACAGGACATTGTAGAGTTGTTGGTTGGCCTACTTTTGATATTGTGTTTCAGCAAATAGGGAGGATCAAGGAGAGGGAGAGAGATGGGGGAACGGCCAGTTGGTGGAACAGTCAGAACACATACGATATTCATCCATTAAAGTTCACTATCTTATACGGGCACGGTTCACGCCCCCAAACCATTACAAGAGTAACAAAGATCACTGATCACAGATCATCATAACAAAATAATAATGACTAAGTGTAAAATTGTACAAGAAGCACAAAATGTGACAGAGACACCAAGTGAGCAAATGATGCTGGAAAAAAATGGCTTGCTCCATAGGGAGTTGCCGCAAAGCTTCAATTTATAAAAAACCAGTATCTCTGCAGCACAACCCCGAGGAACGCCTGTATAGGGATGATCTTTCCAGGGGTTAGGAGAACACATCACGCCTCAGCAGCATCCCACTGGGATACCACAAGCTTTCCTCCTCAGAACCCTCCAGCACGAGGTAAAAGGTCTGTCGTTAGCAGCAGTAGCAGGTTAACTTCACTCAAGGAAAAGTTAAGCCCTCTCAACTGCATATTTTCACACCAGGAACGTTGCGTCTGCTACCTACAGTAAGGCAGACATTAATAACATATTATAAATTTAACATCATTAACTTGGGAGAAATGAAACCACCCAGGCATCAGAGGGATGTGTTCCATCTTCACCTCTCTTTGGAACATGTCCTCTCCAGTCCCCAACATCCTCCACACCTGGTCACCAGAACCACGTGATGGACTCATCATGCAGATCCTAGTACCACCTAAAGAGACACTGATCCTGCAACAAAAATCCTTAAGGATGGAACCTTAAGACAGGGAGGTCACAAGAGCTAACATTTTTTTTTTAAATCCTGATGTACCAGGAGAAGTAGGGATAGACTAGTTTTTGAGTCTTTCTTTCCCTGTATTATATTTATGATGGCGATTGCTTGGCTAGATTTGGCACTATAAATAATTAAAACGGCAGTGCCTGTCCGAGTGAGCACTGCAGAATCCACTGATATTTTATTGCATGATTCAGTTAATTTAATAATAGAAGACAAATCATGGCTCCTTAATTGACTAAAGTTTACTTTTTAAAAGAAGTAATTAAATCTCAAAACTCCCCAGGCTCTTGACAGTCCTGCAAGTGTGTGTCTAACTTTCTATAACCTTACAACAGAGACCAAAGATTTAACTTCAAAACAGCTGAACAGATATCCAGGGGGCTAAGCGATGTTGTATTTCCTCCCCTCTAGGAAGG